TCAATTTGTTTTCTCACCAAGGTCTGTTTTAACACGTATGGGGACATCCAAGTGTGTAAGGCTATTGGAAACCAAAAAAATAAAGGAATGAGATAGCTATAATTGAATAAATTCGGCATATGATTTTTTTCAGTGGCTGTGTGACCTTGTGTCTGACACATTCATATGCAAATGACTAATCTGTGAAACAAATAGGGGCGGAGACAAACCACTCAAATGTTTGGAAACACTCATTGTGTGTCAGATAGCTACTGATAATACATCCTAACATTGCTTTGTCTTGAGTTTATCTTTGAAACTTATAAGCACACAGATTAAATCTGTGTTGTTGTTTTTGGAAAACACTACTGAGGCTGCTTTGCTTCCCTTCAGAAAATCTACATTTTAACCAACTTACATGATATTCTATGTTATGTTGACTTTATCACATGAAAGTTTATAGTGCATTTCATCAATTAATAAATAAATGTGAAAATCGTAATTTTCAACACAAATAATAGTCTCGCTACCTTAAGTGACCTCCTATTTCAGTAATATTTTCACTATTTCGCTCTTGATAATGACATTTTGTTATTTTGTTAAAAACAACAATTTTTAATTTCTTCAAACCAAACCTAATTTCATTTTTAATCAACTACACAGTACCATCTCAGTATTTTCTGGACAATTATTATGTCAAATCTATTAGTTGGTCATCAATAACAAAGTAATCCAAACTTCACATAAACTACTTGTCTATAAAGTCCCTTAGGTAGTCACCATACACAGGTTTGACTGTAGTCTACTAGTCTGCCTACTGGTACTCAGTGAATTACACTGGAATCCACCAGTCTACAATTTCACACCATAAGTATTTTTGATTATCCATATTTCATCCACATGGCACATCCCATAAAACAGTGAATAAAAAGATGATATAATAATGGTATATTAAATGGTGACACTGATAGTGTAAGAAGTATACCTGTCTCATCTTCTGGTGTTTGTTTTTCTTCTTCTTGATAGAATGTAGTAATCCTTGTACCTTCATTATGATTAACAATGCGTACACCATCAGATCTCTCTACCACAACAACTCTGTCTTCACGTGTCATCACCACCTACAGTTCAGACATTCACAATACATATAGACATATTGAGTACTATAATAGTTATTGCACATCCTTACCTAGTATATATGTAAGCATGCACTGGATCGTCACAAAGAGTAAGTGCACACATATCTGTTTTGTACATTACGTTATCAGGTTTTTCTTCCTTGTCAATCTGCTTGTTTGTCTGCTCAAGACATTTCAGGGGTTTATTAAAATTACGCTTCTATTGGAGATACACTTCTAATAGATACAGTATATACCTTCTTATTTAGATGATTTGTTAAAATAACAGTAAAATAAATATCAATCGAGTGGATACTGTCTACCATACCTCATTTGTCATTTGATCTGTAGCAGTATAAGACATGTATGACTGTACATTGGCTTGGCTGCCATCAGATTTAGTTGCAATCCTCTCCCCAGTTTGAGTGGTAGTAATCCATTCACCAACTTTATCAGTGTCACCACCACTAGTTGACGCTGTATCCTTCTCTACTATTGATGGTTGACTCAACTTACTAGGAGCACCTTTCAATGCACCTAAAGAAAGACAGACATGTTAAAATGGTAAATGTGATCAGTGTTTAGTACTCATAAGGAAGCTATATGTATGTGTTTCAGACAAAACATGTTAAAGTGTGATCAGTGTTTTTAGAAAGGGAGCCTCAATAGTGACTTACTTTTTTTAGTATGCGTTTCACTTCCTTGTATACTGACAGCACTTCCTAGACGGTTAGGTGAACCATCACGACTTGATGGTCTTCCTTGGCACTCTGTGATTGGTCCATTACCTGCATTATAACTGACAGTACCATCCGCGAATAACACCTAAGACAAAGTGGTATAATCAATTAACATTTTAATTTGCTTCATGAGACAAACGACATCCCTTCACATTCACTTGTCATGAGACAAACAACATCCCTTCACATTCACTTGTCATAGGAGAAACAACACCCCTTCAAGTTCACTTGTCATGAGACAAACAACATCCCTTCACATTCACTTGTCATGAGACAAACAACATCCCTTCACATTCACTTGTCATAGGAGAAACAACACCCCTTCAAGTTCACTTGTCATGAGACAAACAACATCCCTTCACATTCACTTGTCATGAGACAAACAACACCCCTTCAAGTTCACTTGTCATAGGAGAAACAACACCCCTTCAAGTTCACTTGTCATGAGACAAACAACATCCCTTCACATTCACTTGTCATGAGACAAACAACACCCCTTCAAGTTCACTTGTCATGAGACAAACAACATCCCTTCACATTCACTTGTCATAGGAGAAACAACACCCCTTCAAGTTCACTTGTCATGAGACAAACAACATCCCTTCACATTCACTTGTCATAGGAGAAACAACACCCCTTCAAGTTCACTTGTCATGAGACAAACAACATCCCTTCACATTCACTTGTCATAGGAGAAACAACACCCCTTCATGTTCACTTGTCATGAGACAAACAACATCCCTTCACATTCACTTGTCATAGGAGAAACAACACCCCTTCAAGTTCACTTGTCATGAGACAAACAACATCCCTTCACATTCACTTGTCATAGGAGAAACAACACCCCTTCAAGTTCACTTGTCATAGGAGAAACAACACCCCTTCAAGTTCACTTGTCATGAGACAAACAACATCCCTTCACATTCACTTGTCATAGGAGAAACAACACCCCTTCAAGTTCACTTGTCATAGGAGAAACAACACCCCTTCAAGTTCACTTGTCATGAGACAAACGACATCCCTTCACATTCACTTGTCATGAGACAAACAACATCCTTCACATTCACTTGTCATGAGACAAACAACACCCCCTTCAAGTTCACTTGCTAAATAATCTATAAAATAAGGTGTGTACCATTAATTAGCTTTCTTCATGAACCACTGTAAATAAATAATGGAACTCTTATTGCCTAGAGTTGCTTAATTTTTTATATTAATGTATTACAGTTTTAGTTCTAAAGTTCAATATTACATTACCATGTTCAGACAGTCATTCTACCAAACATTGTTGAATTATTAGAATCTTTCCTTTCTATTGCAAACTCATATTACCATCAAGACCACAAGTACTGGTAGAGAACCATTAAACTTTTCACCACCAGACTTTCTCCCCAAAAATAGTTTTGTACTTTTTTCTTATATTATTTAATATTTCTGGAAATGAACCTAAATTTTGGAGCCAACAAAAAAATTTGAGTCAATTTTCAGTTTTTACTCAAACAAGTTGGCTAATTTTGTCCCAATCTTCTGAAGGAAGGTGCAGAAAATAAACAGGACTATTTTATGAATTTGTGATGAAAAGAGGAAACTGGTGGTGATAAGGTTTATCATGTATTCTCACTTAAATCAATTGGCTGTATGTTGTAGTTATATAAACAATGTTTAGTTACCCATATAGATCCATCATGCATGACTTTAATAACAGTACCATCACTATTTATAACTCTAGATAATTCTTGCATTGCTGGTTTCCGTGACGATTCACATTCATGTTTACCATCACTCTTATAAGGATAATGTTGACGTACAAGAACACCTCCATCACATTCTTCAGAGGCTTTTTTTTTACCTACAATTCAAACATACCCAATAACTACTGCAAGACTCTCCACATCCACCATCACAGATTGCAGCTGACACAGATATTTGTAAGAAGGAGTCTTTAAAGGGCGACAGTCATTGTACCGAGTCATGTTCGATATGGGACTCATAGCGGCGTATACAACGCGTGTAAAATACATTGTTTATTTACATGAAATTCGAACACACACTGCACAACGACTGCCGCGCTTTTAGCCAAAATGGTAAAAATGTTTTGTTTTTTTTACCTACACATGTAATGTGAATTACATACTTCTTGGATTGCAACAGGCACTTTTATAACTGGTCAATCATCGGGCACCCTTTCTTTTTCATTTCATTTTATTTTAGTCCTTAAAGTACTGGTTATTATAATAAACTAACATGGTCATATGACCAATAGTTCGAATCATACTTTTATTCTCCAAAACCTACAGTCTCTTTGTTTTTATGCAGAGTGCAAATCGCTACAGTTGTATTCATATGTATTCTATTTATGTAAATTACCGGTAGTTGATCAGTTCAGTGTTGTTGATGAAGCAAAGTAACTGCTTGCTGAATCGTTCAATTATACTGTTTTTCAGTATTGTGAGATTACAAAATACAGATCACAAGTGTGTCACATACACTCAGCAACACTCTCTAGTATGAAAAAAAAAAAGAGTCTACAAGACAAATCATATACATACCCATTGTAGAATCAGTAAAATATCTCACAACAAGTCCATCAGGACAGGAGATGTTTAGTTGTTGAAACATTTCCTCCTCTGGTTCATTTAATGTAGGCTCTTCTTTTGAAGTGTCTTCTTCCTTTTGTAAACAAATATAAGTAAACAAAAGCGTGAGTGAGTAATTAAATTAATAAACAAACAAATAAGTGAATGAGCGAGTGAGTGAGTGAATGAATAAAGGAATGAACGAAGGAATACCTGTTGTTTCTCTTGTTCAGCTTGTTGTTTCTCTAGTTCCAATTGTTGTTGTTGCTGTTGTTGTTGTTTCTTTCCTTTCTTTCCAGATGATGCTCTACCCTTTCCACTTGGTGAGGGTGGAGGCTGTGGTGTGGGTGTGGGTGCTGGTGGTTGCAATGTGTCACATGCTTTTTCTTCTATGTGAACAGTATGTGAAAAAGTATAACACTTGGAATAGATTATTGAAGGATTTTTCACTGAATGATTCATTGTGGAACAGTGATTTCATTAGCTTTTTTGTATTTATCATTTCACCTGAATTTGAGACACAGTGCATGTCAGCTAATCACACTACATATTTATCCATAAGTCAAGATAGAGGGTTAACCTAAGAACATATAATAAGACTTAAAGATTCAATGTTCAATGACCTCATGGTATGGTATGTAGTACATTGTACAATACTATAAAGTATAGTTTGGAATGTGTTTCAATTTCATTAAAGAGTAAAGTGAAGCTGATTCCACTAATGAACCTGTATATAAATTATCATTCCAATCAAAAGCATTCTGTCAATGTGGTTCTATCATAATAATCAATACCAACTACTGTAATATACCAACCTTCACTGGTTTTGCCTTGGTTTCCATAGTTACTGAGAGACAAAACCATACCATCATTCATTGTTGCAGTAAAGCAACCAAATGATGAAATTGGCTTGTTCTTTTTCTTTTCTTCTTTCTTACTACCTTCATCTTCATCTTTGACACTAGCAACATCAACTTTAAAGGATATATAAAACAGTGTAAGAGGTATATCATTGCAAGAGACAGTACCACCACATCTCACCTTACTTTAAAGATGCAATATGAATGATAATATTTATTATTGTTTAATTTTGTATTTTAATAGACGCATTGAGCTGTGATTTATGATGAATTGAAAACACTGTTCTTGTACCACACATCTATTTGTTCAATGAAGCGATACAATTCGTTAATACACATACAATAACAATCACTGAACATGAATATTAGTGTTTTTGATTCTCATCTGACAATCATTGCAACATTTGAGGTACAGAACTACAATATTAAACAATATATGTTTTCGTCCATATTGCATATTTAATCAAACAGTTACAAGTAAAGAAGTGAGCAGTTGAAATCATTAACAGTATAGCAAGTCAGTATAACCCTATAGTGGTTGAGTGCATGGAATTGTCCTGCCAGTATATATCTGAAACACATAACAAGACAACGCCATCCCACTATCTTTAAGATGAGGAATACTGAGTTGCTAGTTAACTAGTCTATCTGTTAATCTATGAAATTTAATAAGATACATATACATTGCTGTGATGTGTGTTTAAGATATTCTATGTGCAAGACATGAAGTGAGCATGGAACTTATAATGTAACATACTACTCAGTTTAGGTACATCAGTGTTAGTAGGAGTTTCCTTCTTGTTACTATCCTCTGTTGTTATGGACACATCATCTACTGTCAATGGTGAGGATATACTCTCATGCAAAGAGCCTTCAACAAATGAATGAATGAATGTGGAAATGAATAAATGATCTGTAAGTTTGATATCTTGTATCTGAGGTAGAAGCTTATATATGTCTACATTGATGTCTTTGAATTGAATGTTGTTATAAAACAAAAGTATTGTATCCATATGGTATGAAGCATTTTTTTTCAATTTTGTACATGCACATTTTGTAATATGTGCCCTATATAGAAAGCAAAGGTAACATTTGCACATGTACTAGTATACGCATTTCAATGTTTCCACCATATTTTCACTGCATGTTTTTCAGCTATGTTACCAAGATATCATTATTCTAAAATTAATTTTACTGAGTTAACATTGCTGCAATTGTACCTTGTTTTTCCTTGACCTCTTTCTCTGACTTCTCATCATCTGCTTTCTCTCTTCCACTATCTGGTTCTTCATCTTCACATATCTCCTTCCATTCATCAATGGCATCTTCCTTAGGTTCCAAGATATGTAGTACAAAAGTATGCCCATCTTTTAACACACTGCTTTTAACAAATACAGGACCTGACAACATACAAATACGTATAGTTAGAAGGAATTCAATTTCACAATTTTACTTTGCATGATTGATTCATAAATTATAAATAAAACTATTAAAGTACCTTGTATAAATTCTGTTTTTTCTGTTCTTATCTGTCCTCCATCAGATGGAAACATAGTAGACATTATGCCACTAGCATGGATTAAATCATTACCAACATTGTAACCAGTAAACTGAAACAATAAATAAGTTTTTTGTTATTAACATACATGGGTGTACTGAAAAATAAGGGCAGTAGGAAATTACACAATCTTATGTTAACCTTTTCACCACCAGACTTTCTTGCCCACATTCTTTCTGGAAATAACCCCCTAATTTTGGAGTCATGAGACAAAATATGAGTTAATTTTCAGTCTTTACTGAAGATTTGGCTATTCAATCTTCTGAAGGAAAATGTTGATTATATATGTGACTATTTTGTGATGAAAAGAGGGAACTGGTGGTGAAAAAGTTAAAGGTTATATCTCTATATAATGACAGGTACACAATATACTGTAGAATACTTTATTTTCGCTATTTTCGCTAAATGGAAGATTCCGTGAAAATAAAATCCAGCGAATATACTTTTTTTCTTATATTTCATAAACTCATCAAAAATCAGTGAAAATAAATTCCATACAAAACACCCAAAAAGCCTTTTCAGCGAAAATTAATTCCAGCGAAAATAAAGTATTCCACAGTAGGGGTAATATCATTTATTTGTTGTTTCTTTACTCACAGGATATATTTTTTTTTGTTCTTGAGGCTCAGTAATCTCAGGTACACTTTCTAATGACTTAGACTCCTGAGCCTTGTCTTTCTCTTTTTCCTTTTCTTCTTTGTTACCACGACTACTTGTACGTGATGAGGATCTTTCTTTCTCCTTCTCTTTTCCTTTCCCATCTTTTTCATCTTTTTTCTTTGGAGAAGTTGACCTTGATCGCGATTTTTTCGCCTCTTTGGCAATTCGTTTCTGTTCTTCCTCTTCTTTTATCTTATCTTGTTCTTCTTTCCATGCTTTCAGTGAATTGGGTCGCATAAAATTACCACTGTTTGGATCAAGATTCTCCAACGACCTAGAAGGACTGGCACTTTTCTTTCCTACAGTAATATGGAAGGAACTAATTAATACCAAAAAACATAGAATTATGTCAAAATATCATGGTAGCTATTCATTGTTCAACAACTGTTTTGTGATGTAATGGTTAATTGTTGTAATAGTAGTTGATTTACAGCATTGTGACTGTATTTCAATATTGTTAAACAACCATATATTACAACATATATCAGGTTGGGTGCAGTGCAGTAATGTCAGTTATTTTGAGTGGAATACATTCATATTCAAAATATTACAAGATTGCTGAATAGCTATCCAATAATTGTTTGAATGTCTGTATTAAACAAAGAAAAAAAAGAAAGAAAAATATGTGATGAATAATAGATGTTTTGATGTGGTGGGTCAAGCACCAAGTATAAAAGAAAAGACGTATAATCACCAATGTACATCAAAATAATCCAAACTATACCACTATAATTCCCCTACCTACACGCACTGCAAAGCATCTAGCCAGGAAAACACAAACTTAACTCTATATTTTATTATATTTTATACGATAATTGTTTATAGAGTCATTACAGTCTGAGGGTCTACTTCAGCTGCATCCAGGGAAGATCACTGATAACAGAATAGCTTTGAATACTTACCTTATAAAAAACAGAACACTGATAACCCTCACTTGTCATAACAAACACACACAACAACAACAAAACATGCACATTACCGCTATGTTCACTTGTCATGCTTGCATTACCCTGGAAGCTTCAGCATATCTTGTGGGATAGTGACTTATATTCAAAGATTATCAGGAAGACAGCGATATAGATAAAGTAAGTCTACCTAACCACTTATCAAGATGAGAATGAGATGGAGGTAAGTGAATATGGGGTGTGGTACGTTTGTCACAATGCTGCTGTTTATACCTATCGTTGTGAGTTAGTTAAACTGTGCACACAAACAAGACATACACTGTGACATGTTAATAGACATGCAATTTACATGCAGTATACAATCAACAAGTTATGGCATATAGCACAGCATTTCTTCATGCAAGTGGTAATGTATCTGACCGATTATTGGTCAGTTATTTAGCCATTACACACCTCTATGTTTTATGATGTAAGTATCTTGTAATCATTTTTATATTATATAGTTCCAACATTTAATGTGGAAAAAAGCATTATTAAAAATCTTCTTGAAAAAGAAGAAAATGTAATCCAAAGAAACAAGTTTTTATCAAATTGATTTGTCGATAAAAGTTAAAATATAATATAATATAATATAATACAAGTATTGTGTATGTGTTTGTAGAATAGAAACACGTTGAATAATTAGTATCAAGGATGTAGTAGACTTATTTGGAACAAAAAAAAAAAAAACCTTGTTAAAAAAAGCACTGAATAAAGCATAACAATCTATATATGTTATTGTAGCCTTTGTGATGTTCTATCCATAAACAGTGAACAAGCTGATGTCAATGTGAATTATGTCACATGAATGCCACAACAAAATCCATTGTGTTTGAATATTTTAGGTCTACTAGAAAATCTTACCAGAAAAATATTCATGTGAAAAAGAAGACTACAATGATCTCAAAAAGAACGAAAATTTGCTGTAGTGTTTTATGAAGTGATACAAAATAATTCTATACCAAATTACGATACTCCATCTTCACAACCTAATATGAAAATGACATTTCCTACTATTCAGGAACTCAAGTTTAAATAGTCAGCAAGTTGCATTCATTCTGTATTCTGTTTCATATTCAAATAAAAGCAATATTGGTATAGCTAGGAGAAAAGTTATGCGATTTTACTTGATGGAACTATATGAAGCAAAGTGTATCCGTTGCATCCAATTACTTGACCGGACCACATACATACAATGTTTATTTGCAGGGTTATGCCACAAATGTTATTGGTTTCAGTTTTTTTAAGCAAATGAAGATATCTTTAAAAAAACAAGATCGTGTGACTGCCTGTAGATCTTTAAAAAAACTAAAAAAGTAAATAAAAAAAAATCACTGTTAAAGTCTACTACATCCTTAGTACACATCTTGAGTTCTCTAGAAAGTAAAGTCTCATGCACTCTAAAACGCGCCAAAATATTAGTCATGTTAAAAAATAATGCGCATGCAAACAAAGAGAACACCAGTGATTGGTCAAAGCAGCAGCATTCCGCACAACACAGTACCCTCTAGACAAGTGAACATTAATACCTTTTGGAGATTTTGATCTAGATTTTTTACCATCTTTCTTAGGAGAAAGTGATCGTGGTCGACTCTTGGAACTTGATGGCCGAGAATCTCCTGCATCGGTTGGGGGAGGAGTAGCAGCGGCCGCTGCTAACTCAGCCTCCTTCAATGCTGCCTGGTATTTGTCTTCTTCTCGTCTTACCCAGTCAGCAATGGACTCTGCCACATGCTCCAAGTAGTTTCTGAATATCAAAAACATTGTAAGTACTGGTATATCTTGACAATAATAAAGAATTTGGTGAATACAAGTAACTTTAATTATGATTAGATTTCAGCATGTCTTGGAAATATGTCTTTTTTAACATTCTTTTTTAAATTTGGGCTTTTGGATTACCAGGTAAAAATCACAAAATGTAAAATTTAATGTTTTACATAGAAACATCAAAGATTGATTTCCATGTCAATAATTCACAACCAATGTAATAGCATTACTAAAAGTAAAATGTGAAATGTGTTGTACACAGAATGACTATATGTACTTACCTAAATCCAACATCAGAATGTAACTGTGTATCCCAAGGTTCATAAGTTTTCAAATCAGGACCAATAGGATTATGCATAATAACCAACAGTGAATGGTCTCTTTTATGATAATAGGTATCCATATAAGGATACAAAGAACGAGCATTTTCAAGAACCTACAATAGATACACAATGGTTGGAGAGTTTTTATACAGTCGTATATACCATTTCACATGACATGACTATATACACTACAGTGGTAAAAGAAGTGACAAGCTGCCAGTTAATATAACCCAACCATATTAAAATTCATGTCTGTTCAAATACAATTTTACAAAGTACTGTAAAATACTTTACTTGGAATTAATTTTTGTCATTTTCACTGACGAAATAATTCAGTGAAAATAAAATCCAGCGAATATACCTTTTTTCCTATATTTTACATTCAACTGGTCAAAAATCAGTGAAAAAGAGTTCCATACAAAACACCCAAAAAGTCTTTTCAGCTAAAATAAAGTATATTACAGTAACTTAAATGCTGCTAGATACCTGCAGTAATACTTTAGGCTCAAAATACTCAGCATAAGACCAATCATCCAGGTTTCTTAACTGACTCTCATTGATATCACTGAATGAAATGGTACTAGATGCTGCCGACTGTGGACGTTGTTTCTTTGTACATGATCCTGTCTCTTCATTAATTGTAAATTCTTCATTGCTATGTATATGTACATTTCCCATTTCATCTTTCTCAAAATGTAC